TCTCCTTTATCATGCGCATCATACTCGACGCTGTGTCTATGAAGCAGTTGATACTCCCGGCAGGCACGGGTGTGAGTGTTTAAGACTAACATGTAGTTTGGCCCACTATCGCGTGTTGCAAAGGTAGGTGCGGTTCTTCCATCTCATTTTACCTGTATCTGTGGTACTTTTTTCTTGTGGTTTCCTTCTCTCATATCTCTTCATCATCAGACACTGTGCTTCTTTTGCAGGCTAGCGAAGGAGACCAATATTTTTGACTGTTAATTGTCAAGCGTTCTTATCATTTGGACCGTCTTACTGGCTTGCAGTCCGAGGATGTTCGTTGAGGACATACGGTGTGTGCGTTTGTTCTTGCTCCGGCTTCGGTAGCCACTTCGACCTTCCGTACCGCGGCGGCAACGAATCAAGGTCGCATTGCGCTGAAGTGCAACTGCAGTCCTCAATACAAAATCTTCCTGCCATGGTCATGTCGCAATTGGCAAAGAAGATCATGCTGCACGCCGTCTCACTTCCCTCCAAGTTCATGCCAACGCCACGGAGTGCCTAGGCAAAGCCGGCATCGCATCCAAACGTAAACAACTACCGATACGTTCTGCGACACTTTGGTGTTCGCGCTTGTCGGTACAGCTGTTTTCTTGCACCCGGTGAACCCCGATTCGGCCTCCTCACTGCGTTCACCGCCCGCGCTCTCGCTCCTCACCACGCGTCTCTTGTTTTGATAACCGCCTCTCACGTTCACCGTTGTCAACAAAGCTGCCTGGAGCACGCGAGACGCGTCTTGGGCCCGAGCTTAAGCTGCTTAAATCTCTGCTATATAAAGGCTTGCTCCCCGCGTCTCCCTCTACCTCCTCACCCCACCCCACTCTTTGAGTTGACACTTCGTCTACTTTGATCAAAGCTTTGCCTTTGACAGCTTCCACCTTCCTTGCTCCTACCCATACCTTGAGATACCTTGCCTCACGATGTCCGGTACATCAACATCTCTGTTCGGAGGCGGTGCGCCATCTGTCCCCGCGAACAACGACGTAGCGTCGGCGGTCCAGCTTCCCAGCGCCTCAGATGCTCCCCTTCCCGACGTTGATTCGTTCGCTTCCGAGCTCGGTAACCTAGTATTGGCCGTACAAGCCGTTACCGATACTGCTAGAGTTGCGCACGACGCAGATCTAGTAGCCGGCAGAGCTGTGCAGGCCGCCCGAGTCGAAGCGATCATCGCTAGGAAGGCCAAAGAGGCCGCAGCAGCGCTCTTCACTAGCCAACTCAAAGGTAAGTCCAAGCCAAATTCAACAGTTTCAGGTTATGCTAACAGCTTCAGCTTTCGTTGAGAGTTTCGGGGAGGAACTCAAGAAGCACGGATTGTCCATTGATCGTCAGATCTCTTACATCTCAGATGCCCCCGACGTATGCTGACATGTACAGATCTCGGCGTCAACCCTTGCACTTGGCTTGCTACCATGTCGCTCCCCTCCAATGATGAAAAGGCCGCCAATACCGCTGATGCTGCCGCTACCACCGCCACCGAAGTAAGTTCATCAGTTTTTTCTTCATCTTCTTTTCCTTCTCCTACCATCTTTATTTCTCTTTTCTCGTTCATCCACTCGTATCCTCCCTCGTTTTCCCGATGAATATGAATTCACCACGAATTTAGGGTGTCTTGAGCCTCCCCTTTGAGGTGTTTGGCGAGATCGGTATTCATCTCAGCGTCACGGATCTCAACGAGATGCGTCTTGTCAACAAGCGCATGAAGGAGGCTGTGGCATTCCCATACGGTAAGAAGATTTTTGTTACTGAGAACATCGTTATCTTTCCTACGTTTGCAAGCGTTTCAGCGTTCTTGGTTGGGCTTGGGTTGGATGGTGCGTATCCTGGGACGGTTCGAACAATCACCTTGGTTGGCGAGGGACCGACAACCCCGGAGCTCGGCTACAACTACTCTTGGGAAAATCTCCACATTCTCAAGTTCCCCGGCATGCCAGAGCCGACCGAAGACCAGTTGTATGAGGATGAAGAGATCTTGGAGTTCGCCAATGATGAGCACAAACACTGGAGCCGGGTCAACGAGTCATTCTGTCACACTGGCGCATACCGTACCATGCTCAGTAAGTCTCTTCCCATCTAACATGCTGCAAATTGTACCTCGACTGCGCAAGAACAATACAGCTAAATTCTGAACAGGCCTTGTACTCGCCAAGCTTCCCAACTTGAGGACGATTCAGGTTCGCAAGCTGTACCCCGGCGAGCACATCCCTGGTTGGGCCGGGCCGGAGGCTTTGTCGAAGATGTCGTCGTACCATCCATGGACTCCAGTCAACGAGATATACTATGGTGATTGGAAGTACGATGAGGTACACAAGCGTGTCACGATGTGGATAGACGAGTACGGTGAAGAGATGGAGGAGGACGATGCTGGCCCTCAGGCGGGCTTCGAGGAGGATCTCTTCGCTGCTATGGCGATGTCTGGCACTCAGGCTCAGGTCTTCGAGATGCATAAGGAGTTGGTCTGATATGAGATGAGACGGGATGATACTGATGTGTAATGGGTTGAGATGATACGGATATGACTGCTAGATCTACCTAATAGCTGGTCTCGATGGCAAAATATGATGAAATTTGCCCAAAATATCTGAATTTCGAGTGATCTATAATGGCTACGTCACATCAACAGAGTTTGTACAGAACCCTGTTGAACAGGCCAGGTGTACTCCAGTATCTCGTGACCTCAATGGCCATAACAGCAGATCTGACTGAATACCTCCCCGCCTCCTCATGGAAATATATACAACTCTCAAAAATGTGTTGAAGCACATCAGACCTCACCGAAAACAAAGGCCTTCCAATTGCTACCCAGCCTCTTTACGCCCTCCTCTAACCCCCATCCTTTGATCCCACATATCCTCCGTATGATATCTTCCAACCTCCTATCCATCTCATCCCCCGCAGTATGCAGGTCACTCTCCACCAACAACATATCATCCGGCACCATCTTAATAATATCCTGAAAAGCCTGCGGCGTCTCCTCCTCATCCAACGCATCCGACAGATTAATCGCCGTACTAAACGAAGCAAAGATCTTACAAGGAATCTCCGGACGCAAGTACTGCGCAAAATTCGACGGAGAGCCAGAATATGAATGCAGACATATGCGCGGCGGGTACGGCTTAGGACTGTCGTCTTTTGCAGCAGCACCGTCACCATCGGCATCGCCATCACCCACCTCATCAGCCTCCAGCGCCGCCTCCGCACCCGGATGATCCCTCCCCCTCTTCTTCCTCTCCCTCTTACTCAAAACCAGCCTCTCGCACCCCTTCCACGTCTCAGCCAGCACCTCCAACACCAGCCCATGAGCCTGCACCCCATGCACACTAACCGCCCTGCCCATCTCCGCCGCAAGATCAAGCTGTTTCCTAAAAATGCTCTTCTGGTGCGCAGGACTACAGCGGAAAGGCGTCAGCCGCCTTCCTTCGCGGCCTCCAGGCGTGAGATTACTGTTGCGCTTTGCCCACATATCGGGGTTGCCGGTCCAGGACTCCGGGATGCGGAAGGAGCGGTCTAGTCCGATTTCGCCGATTAGCGCGAAGGGGTGCTGGAGGAGGTGTTGGCGCGTGAGGGCGAGGAAGGAGGAGAAAGGTGTGGGGTTGGGGAGGGAGGCGTAGGTTTGGAGGTCTTCTGGGCTGGGTTGTGGGCGGTGGGGTTGTAGGACGGATTGGTAGTGCGTGATTTTTGCTTGGCCGGTTAGGGGACCTTGGTCTTGTTGTTCATCTTCGCTTTTGGAGTCAGGCTCGGAGATGTACATTTGATACGAGAACCAGGGGTGCCAGCCGAAGCAGGGGACGATGCATTCTTCTTTTGTCCATTGGGATGGGTTGGCCGATCGGATGCTGTGCTTGTTTGCGGTGGCTAAGACGAGGTCTTGGTCTTCCGCTCTGGTTGCCATTACGGTGAGGATGCGCGCTTTCATGTTTTGGATGGTTTCGATGCTCGACATGGTGTCTGTGGGGTGGCAGTGTGCGTCGTAGACTCCGAGGTGCCATGGAAAAGGCTCGTCCTTTTTAGGTTGTGTTAACATCTTGTAACGGATATCTCTGTGTTTCCAAGTTAAGATGTATAGGTAATCGGGTTGCGAATATGCTGTGTTGTCGCGTGAAGCAAATCTACATTATGACGTGCATGTGAGGCTACTCGGGTGATCCCTGTCGGGCAACGCGCTTTCCGGATTACCCCACGACCCCACCATCCTTTGCTGCATGACAGCTTGCGCCAGCTCTACAATGCCATATACATCGCTAGTATGATCCCTTACAGCACTCAATCTAGACCTCTGGCCTATCCTGAGTCGTATTCTGCCTTGCCTTCCCCTGTCTAGGACCTCGGCAACTACCAGTACTGGCGAAACCTCGGAAGAGCCAACCTAATACCATTTGCTACTTGCGGATACATGCGCATGCGTACATGCATAATACAACGATCCACTTCTCTGGGTCCATCAGATGGACGAACACTAAACCCTTACATGGAGCATATCAGCCCAATAGCGAACGCCACATTCCGCGCTACTTCATACGCGACCTTTGCGCGTTATGCATTGATCTGTCACTTTACGCCCTTGACTACGATCGACGCTGAATCAGGTGTCTCACCTCAATCAAATTCCATCGAGACCCACCCGTGAAGGAATTGCGAGCAGCTTGTCTGCCTGATCTTATTCAATGGCCGAGGATGTACTTTCTCCGCATTAGTTAACCCCTCACTAGATACGCCCGTTCGCTTGATAGTGACTTGGGTAGTCTAGTATATGTACTCGTCTTGCTATCACTTCGACTTTACTTCTACTTCACTTCTACTTGTGATTGTTATTCTTTCTTCTCTTCTTCCTGTCTACTTCAAGTCTCTTCCTCTTACTACAATACTACGGTCTATACCACAGCAAACACAGACAATCAAAACTATCGTCACCTACCAGCCTCACCCCAACTTCAAACACATCTCCCACTCCACTCTCCACGATGCCACCCCGCCTACACAACAAAATCGCCGTAATAACCGGCTCCTCCTCAGGCATCGGCCGCGCCACAGCCCTAGCCTTCGCCTCAGAAGGCGCCTCCCTAATCTGCTCCGACATAACCGAAACGCCGCGATCAGAATACGCCACAGACACCTCCCCCAGCACCACCACCGTCGCCGCCGCCCACGCCCTCGGCGCAAAAGCCCTCTTCGTAAAATGCGACACCACCTCCTCGACCGACATCCAAGCCCTGATCCAGACCGCAGTAAAAGAGTACGGCAGAATCGACATTATGGTGAACAACGCGGGGATTAGCGTGGAGACGGGTGAGCATGGCAGTCGGCCTGTGTGGGAATACGAAGAAGCGGCTTTTGAGCGCACGGTGGATGTTAATATCAAGGGGGTTTTCTTGGGCACGAAGTATGCGAGTAGGCAGATGGTGGGGCAGGAACCGGGGGAGAGGGGGGATAGAGGCTGGATTATTAATTTGAGTAGTGTTTATGGGTTGAGGGGGACTTCGGGGATCTGTGAGTTGTTTCGTTCCATTTTCGTCCTTGTTGAAGACGCGACGTTGAGGCTGTGAGTAGACGGGAAGCTGACATTCTACTAGCGGGCTACGCGGCCTCCAAACACGCCGTCATGGGTCTCACAAAGGCTGCTGCGTTGGACTGCGCGCCCTACCGTATCCATGTCAACGCACTCTGTCCGGGTTATACAGCTACGGCCTTCATCTCCTCGCTACTTACACCCGAAGCCGCAGATTCGAAGAAAGAGGTCGAGACGAGACATCCGTTTGGCGGGCTGGGTACGCCGCAGGATATTGCGAGGGCGGCGGTCTTCTTGGCTAGTGAGGATGCGGCGTGGGTTACTGGGATTGGGCTGCCGGTTGATGGGGGATTTAGCTGTATGTGAGGTGCCGTGAAGTGGAGTTATGGGCGAATGGACGGGGTTGGTCGACTCGGTTTTGGACATTTCGTGCATCTTGCTTGGACTGGCATTGTATTCATGCATCCATCGTCGTGAAGAAAGAAGTAGCGTTGGGAATATGGGGACTACGATCTGGTGGGGAACATACATTCTTCATGGGATGAGTGTTTGACCTGTTTCATTGATTTTGTGGATTATACTAATCACTCTGTACTATGCTATTGCCTCTAGGCCGTCCCAAGTCCTCAAAACAACACCCTATGTACACCCAGTCAACGTAAAAGTGACACACGAAGAAAGCCCCAAAGTGTATAGAGAAAAAGAAGAAACAACTGGTTTGGGGAAATCGTCGATTGAGGGAAAATGCAGGGACAAGGAAACCCAAAACGCCGCAGCTATGCATAGCTTTCAAGAGTAAAAGGACCTAACGGAGGGGGTGCGAGAACGGAGTCGACTAGGAAAACGGAGAGAGTGCGAATGGAGAGGGTATCGCCGCCGGGGGGACAAGGGCGACATGTGTAAGAGGTGGTCGTGCTCCTTGGTACTATGCAAAAGGTGGATCAGTCAAGCTGAAGAGTCGGAATGTAGTGTGGGGATATAGGTGGCGTGGTGGAAGGGCCGAGGGAGTGGAGGAGAATGTATGGAGGTGTTTGAGGCACTACCTCGCTACACGGTGGATCAACCTGTGGTGGATTAGCAAAGAACACGGTCATGTCGTCGTCGAGAAAGACTTACCTCAGAGTGCTGATGGAGAAAGTGGCAATCCATGCAAGCAACGCAATCAACAGTGTCGCTGTCAAGCCCTTCTGCCTCTCACAGATGCTCTGTCGATACGGACAAGCATTCGTCCTGTCCGACTCAACGCATGCCCATTTGTCGTCCGTCAGGGCCTGGAAAGCCAAACTAAGATTCGCCGACTCGAAGACGATAAAGGCCAGATCGAGAAAGATCAGCGACATTTTGGCATTGGGCGAGCGCAGGCCGAGGGGCTTAGAAGTGTATTCGTCGTAGGTGATGTAGATGGTGTATAGGACGGCTACGATGTCGACGAGTATGGCCATCCAGGTAGACGAGTTGTTGCTGCAGCCGTTGTTGTCCGAGTGGCGGTAGATGGAGCAGGCGAGGGAGAGGGCGAGGATGGAGAAGACGAGGACAATGGCGCGGACCAAAGCGGGAACCATGGGGTGGTTCATGATGGTGTTGTGGAAGCGCATCAGGCGGCGCTTTCTCTTCTCCGAGGTGAAGAGCCAGAAGCCCTTGATGTGCTCGTCCCCGAGGCCGTTGTCGATGGGCTCCCACTTCTGCTCGAGATCGGGCATGTTCTCCTTGAGCCAGTCATCGTCGACGATCTGGCCGCGCGAGGAGATGGGGCGGTCGTGGTTGGAGGCCTGGGTGAACTGCTTCCACTTGGGTGCGCTGTCGCTGACGGGCGTCGAGAGGGTCACGGGGGCGCCCTCGCGAGCATGGTCGAACTTGCGGCCTGGCACGCTGGACTTGGGCGTCGGGCAGAAGTTGTGGTTGGCATGGCGGACGTTGGTGGGCGTGCGTGGTAGGAGGAGCGAGGAGGCGTCTACATTCTCGTCTTCGTCGTCGGCGGACTGGACCCAGGGCGGTAGTGAGCGGACGGCACGCTGCCTCTCCCTGTTCTCCGCGCTCGCGGTTATGCTCCGGTTAGAGGACGCCAGCGTGCGTGGAGTGCTGGATATCGACTGCGAGTGGCTCTTGCGGACGGGGGGCAGGCCGTCGTGACTGTCCTTGGAGTTGCCGGAGACGGCGCTGACTCGCGACTGGGGGCGCTGGGTCGAGGTGAGGGACGAGGCGGTCGGGGGCGGAATGGGCGAGGGCAGCAGGCGGTGGCCGTTGGAGTGGGACGAGTTCAGCGTCGAGGCCTGCGAGGTCTGGCTGCTCCCCTGGGCGGCGGCGTCGGGGCGGAGGTGCCCATTGCTGCTGCTGGTGGTACCATGGCCCGGGTCGCTCTTTCGGGGCTCAACCATGGGCGTGCTGGTCATTCTCTGGGGAGATGTGAGGGGCTTCCTCGTCGCACCACCAAGCACCAGCCGGTGTGTCGCGCCTGCCTGCACGCAGCAAGCTTTGAGGGCTTGGCAGTGAATCAGCACCGGGGGAGATTACGTGGGAGCAAAGTAGACGAGTCGCAACGACACCATGTCCGGCTTAGGAAGTGACGGGGCGCAGTGCAACAGTGCGGGTAAACAAGACAAGGAAACAGCGAACGACGAGATGGTTAGAGTTTGGTGGTGCGCCTGGGGGTGGTGGAGCGTTGGGTGCGTGCGCGTGTTGGCGTCGTAGGGGAGATTGCTTGTTCGTCGATCAGGGAAACAGGGATTGCGCGCTGGCAGCATGCTTAGCCAGGAAAACAGCCTGGGGTGAGGTCATGGGTCCGCAGTAGCCCGTCGTCAAATTCCGACGACACGACACCCAGCTAGCGATTTCGGTGCCTTGGTCTCTACGCGACTCGACCTGCGTCATGTCTCGCACACCCGCCGCGAGAGTTTGTTAAATCGCGATTAAATACGCGCAGCATTGCGCTTACCTAAACACCAAGACCCTCTGCCCCGCGACCCCACGCTCCTCATCCTCCCCTCCCACGATGCGTCTCTTCCTGCTGCCCATATCCACGCGTCGCTCCCTCATCTACTGCGAGAAGCTGCACGAGAAAGCCCCCAAGGACCGCTCCTACTATGACAAGATCACCATAAAAGCCAATGAGACGTGGGTCGCCTGGGAGAAAGACGAAAAGGCCATCTGGGACTGGAAGAAGAAAGTCACCTTCTACGGCAACCACGCCCTGAAGCGCATACCCTACGAGGAATGGGGGCTCAAGACCATACCCGCCCTCACGGCGAAGCGGAGGCAGGACATTGTAGACGGAAAGGCAAAATATGAGGTCCTGTTCCCTGGAAAGTACCTGCCGCAAGAGAGAGTGTCGGGGCTGCTGGAGAAGCTGGCAAAAGAGAGGCAGAACATGCACCGGACAAAACTGATCTGGAGCGTCGTCATCATGCCCTTCACCGCGCCCTTCATGCTCGTCCCCGTCATTCCCAACCTGCCTTTCTTCTACGTTCTCTACCGGGCATGGAGCCACTGGAAGGCCTTCAGCGGCTCCAAGCACCTCGAATTCCTCCTCAAGCACAACCTCCCTACCCCCGCTCCATCGGGCACGCTCGACCAAGTCTACACTGCCGGACTCATGTACCCAACCCGCGCACTCTCGCGTGCTGCTCCCGACCCGACCCCACAACAAGCCCAGCAGGTAGCCAATGTCGTGCACCAGCAGACCAACAACGAGACTGAAGACGTCATGGTCTTGCAACGGTGGAACGGAAAGCTCATCGCCGAGCAATTCGACCTACCCGACATGGAGGTTGAGATTGAGCGCGCTGTCGAGCAGGTCGAGAACGCCATCAAGTCGAAGGAGAAGAGGATGGAGGAGAAGCTGGAGCAGGAGAAGGCTGCTGGGGGTAACGGCACAAGGGCAAAAGACGCATTGCCTGAGGAGATCCTGGAGAAGATACACGACAAAGCTGAAGATGTCGCTGAAGAGGGCAAGAAGGAGGCGAAACAAGCTGCCAAGTCATGATCCCATTTCATGTCCCAGCGAAGTACGATATCATGTTTCAAGATTCATAAACAGCATGGGCGTTGGAGGCTATGTATGTACTATACCACATAGATTGTCAGCATCTGTATGATTGGATGCTTATGAAAATAACGACATATGATTAACATCTTCATTCGTAATTGGTGATGTGGTCGCTGGGAAGCCCTCAACACATCAATCGCCGTAGTAAGTCTCCTTGAAAGACACTGATAGTCTCCAGGCTACACCATCACCCATCGCCTAGACTCAGTGAACGACTTGCCTCCACGCAGGCATATCTCAGCTAAACCACACAAGCAGCTTCTAAATCGTCGCATGCTCCAACTATTCCCCTCAGTCTCACAACTCACTCCTGTCCCCCCTACAAAACTTCTCCAGCCTCTCCCTCCCCCACGTCACCGGCCCTCCCACGCCATACAACGGATCCCTCTCCAACCACCCCACGCCCTTAACCTTCTCCGCCATCCCCTCCTCCCCCTCCTTCCCATAACACATATCCCACCCACACCCCTCAGGATAACTCCCCACCATCATAAACCCACCCTCCTTATCCTCCACCAGCCTATGCCCCACCCCCGCCGGCACAACAACCGCGTCCCCAGCTTTCACCTCTGTTTCCACCCGCCCTGAATTGGATTCGCCGCCGAAGAGGAGGGTGGCGCGGCCGGAGTAGATGCAGAGGATCTCGTGGGTGGTGCTGTGGTAGTGCGTTGTGGTGTACATTGTGTAGCGCCATTGGGGAGTGAGGTTGTTGGCAAGGAGGTGGGATTCGAGGGTTGAGGGCGGGGTGGAGGGCGGGAAGGCGGAGTGGTAGATGTAGAGGGGGTGGTTGTGGGGGGTTGTGTTGGGGATTAGGGAGTGGGTGGGGATGTAGTGGGTTGAGAGGCGGAGGGAGGTGAGGGGGGTTAGGTTTAGAGAGGGCATTTTGGTGTGTTGTTTTTTAGATGAATTGTTGGACTTTTTGGTTCAGTGGTTTGACGTAGGATACGTTGGTAAGGAGAAAGACTGCTATCTCAACTTCTGATATAAGATGGCATCTGATGATCCCACCAATACGTCATCGATCAAAAAGCCGGGATGAATTTGCGAGGAACGTTTATTGTTCGATCATAGTGGATTCGGTGTTCTAATCCGAGCATATGATTATTTATCCGTAGTGGAAGTCCTAAGTTCGTAGCTGAAGATCCTAGAGTGACCATCACTATCATTTGCCACCAGTAGTGTAGAGTTCACCATGGACAAGCGAAGATAGTATCGCGTGGGGAGCCAACCTTAAAGGCCTTTTTGGATAGCTCCTAATGATAAATGTACTATTGCAAGATCTCCACGGAGTGCAAATCACACGAAAACACCTAGGTACCCAGGT